TATATATATATATGACATGATGCATATGATATAACTGTATCATGACCTTTTCTACTTTCCTGATGCAAATGATGATAATTCTACTTCTTTACTACAATACAAGGGAGTTCAAATAACATCAGAAACAGTGATGCTACCAGCAAGAAGGGATTGTGAGAAGAAAGCGAGGAATACTGTTAAAGTTTATCTTCATTTGAAATAAAGCATCAAATAAAGTGCTCCAACCCAGATCTCATAGAAAGCTCAGCTCTTCACAACTGTCTTTTGCCTCTAGTGGGTTCTGATTTTTTTTTCTTCTAACTTTAAAATCTCAAATCGTCACAAGAACTGATCATTAAGATGGGTAAAGGAATTCACTATCTAGGTTTTTAAATTTTCATTATTACTACTTTTAAATATGGGGACATATTAGAATGACAAAGGTTTAATACAAACATTGATTAGCTTCTAGAGAGCTTGATTGGAAAGGCAAAAACTACAAAGATACGGTTTATTTGAAAGGGGGAGGAAACAAATATTATTTCAAACACTGCCTCCCCATTCCACCTTTTCAGTTTCTCTTCTGAACATTTTCTCCATATTGGATAAAGGTTGGTTTCTTTCTCCATTGCAGCCCCTACCCTCACCCCACCCCAACAAACCTAGTATATTTCCATTCTGCCGTGTTTTTGTACGACTCAACATGCCATTAACTTTAAGATTTACTCCTCAGCAGGCAAGCTGGAAGATGCTAAAGCCAATAAAAACTGCTCTCTGGGACTCCAACTACGAGGAGTTTGGAGCTGTGCTTAGTATTCGGATGAAGGGAGGGCTGGAGAACGAGGGTGGTTGTGATAGTGAAAACCACCGCTGCTTAGGGAGCCAGACAGCTCTGCGCTCTGCACCTAATGTGCCGGAGGATCAGCTCTGTTCATAGCCCATTTGTGGCCAAGGATGAGGCTGCTCTCTCCGTGTGGGTGGGTGTGCGTGTGCATGTGCGTGTGTGTGTTTTCATCATTAAAACCACCAGCTCTAACACAGCATCTTCAGTGGCTCTCCACACTACTGTTTATTAAAAACAGAACATCCATACACATCCCTTACAACTTCCTTAGACCGGTGCTCCTTCCCTGCCTGACAATCAATCTCTCTCAGAAAGCATTTAACTTGCCCACACAGCTCCAGCCCCGATTAATCCCGGCTTCACATCCTATACATTACTGTTAGGGAGCGGAGCACTGGGCTAATTTCATCACCCACCAGCCACCCACACACATTCTACAACTGAACACATTTGGGGCTCTGCCTTAAAGATAATAAAACAAGGAGAAAACAGGCAGGCTGCAGACAATTCCCATGACCACTTTCCTAAAAAGTTGCTGGGTTTTAATTCTTTGATTATTCTGTCTCCCCTCCCCCAAGCACTCACTAGCAATTATTGCTTCAAGGGAGAGAAATAATGTACTATAAACCTCTCTGCATGGTGAGTTTGGGATAATTTAGGCTACACCCTTTAAAATGCATATCTTGCACACACAGATTTTCCCCCAAAGCCCCACTTTCCTGAGAAAGGGGGATCATCCAGGCTTCTCCGACTCCCCACTCCACCCAGGGGATGGCTGGTTCCTTGCTAATTCTTGCCTTAGGTTTTGTCCCTCCTTCCTTCAAATATCCACCCCCTTCCCCCACCACTCACACCACAACCGGATTATTGAGGTACACAGCTCGACAGGGAGAGTTTACTGTTAAATTGATAGCGAAATAAAAATATCTCTGAATTTGCCACCTCTCTCCTTTTTAGACGGCTGCGCTCCTGCTACTCTGGCCGGGAGCGGAGGAAGAGCCCACCAAAGCTCCTTAGTATTTTCAGCACCACGGCGATGGACAGCACCCTCGGTCCCCGGCCGGCAGCGCGCCTGCCAGTCTGCCCGCAGCTCAGCGTCCCGGGTTCGGCCGGTGCAGCTGTCCCCATCCCAATCATTCAAGTCACTGTACCCAAAATACAAGTCTCGTTCCTCCTCGACCCTCTCTCTTTCTCTTCCTCTTCTGCTCCCTTTGCTCTCCCCACCGCACCGCTTCTATCAGCTCCTTTCCCCAAACCCAGCCTTGCCCCAGCAAACAGCTCCCCACGCACCCAAGTCCCGGTCTCTGCTGCCCGAGCGCCTCCTTCCTCGGCGTCCACCCGAGGCTCCCTCTCGCGCCGTCTCCAGTTCGTCCGTTGCCGGCCGGCCAGCCCGCCCGCCCTCTCTTTCTCCCCAGCAAAGTTGGGAGGGTAAGGTGCACTCACCTTTGTGCATGCCTGTGAACCTGTCCTTCAGAACCGTAAGCTCGTAGATCTTGCCGAACTCCTCGAAGAGGGGCTTGAGGTCCTTCTCGTCCAGGTTGCGGGGGATCTGCCCAATGAACAGCTTGATGGCATCGTGGTCCTTCATGGGAATGGTCGACGGGTTCCCCGGGCTGTGGCTTAATCCGTTCATGTGCCCGGCGCTGCCCGGGCTGCTGCCGAGCCCGTTGGTACTGAGGCTCGCGTTGTCAGCCTGTCCGTTTGCTAACGTGGCCATCTTTATATACATAGAGAAAATCTTCTTTCCTTTTATTCTTTCTCGCTCGCACTCTCTCGCTCCTCTCCCTCGCAAGCTCGCTCGCGCTCACACACGCACACGCATACACACACTCGGGTTCTCTCCCCCTCGGTTTCTCTATACCTCGCTCTCTGCTCTCTCTCTTTCTCCTCTCTTCTCTTGCTCGCTCGCGCTCGCGCGCTCTCTCCCCTCTCCCCCCTCTCTCTCTCCCTCCCTCTCCTCTCTTCTCTCTCTTTCGGCGGTCTGATCTGATTTTT